GATCACACCAAAACACCACGCTGCGCCTATTATTTGCAGGTAAACGGCATGCTGCCCATTTATCGGCTGAATGAACCGAAGCAAATTGGGTGTAGCCCTTGATCAATAAAGCAAGTAGTTAATAAGGAGCATCACTGACGTGGAAAGGAAACTACTAAAATCTGGCCCGTGTCCCCTCCACTTGCGGTTCCTTTGGAAGTGCCCTGCGGAGATGGAGAGAACGATGTCTGCAAGGAAACAGCATTTTCTGCTCATTCACTGGGTTAATCGTTTCACAAAAACTTCATGGAAGACGTTCTAACCAGTAGAAAACTACCACTGCTACTCCCGCACCTATTCATAGCCTGCCATTCGATTTTGGTAGCTAGAGTCGTCAGTTCAAGTTAATTAGACGACCCGGTCATTTGCCGATCAAGAACACAACACAGGCTTGAGTCTGAGGCATGACAATCCAGATCTTTAAGCCACACGTTTATCTGGAATACATATATGTCGTGTGGATTTGTGAAAATAGCCCGCGAGTATCTCTCTGGTATGCTAAACAACTGCCACCATACAAACAAAAAAAGTACAGTTTATGAACTAATTTATGGGTGCTGCATGTATAGACGTATTTTTAAATAAATTAGCATATAAACAAAGTACGTATGTGTCCTATGCATACCATTTAAGTACCACGTTCAGATACTCCGCAACTGCACCGACGAACACAAAGCGCAGCGTCAATGAGGGCAAAAACGGAAACAGCAGAGGACCAAACCAAATGAAAACCGCACCGGGGTCACCGAGCTTCGTGAACAGTACCCAAAAACTCTGCCACCGGGTACCGTGAAACAACGGTAGTTTTTGCAACAACAAGATGAACGTCACGCCCAACGCATTTAGATGTTGCTGCATCGTCCCTAGATGTACAAGTTATAGCGATGAGGGGTCTATGACAAAACTGGCTTCAAGCAGGACGTGATATTAATTTCAATAATTCTAGGAGACAGTAGTAAATAATACCAAATTATCAACTTGAATCACATAATTTATCTACACGATAAAATCATCATACCTGTTAAGACGTCACAAATTGATGAACAACAGTGTAACCCTGAAGACGGATCGAGTTTGGTCCCATACATCAAGTGTAAAATTCTTATGCACTATTCACCTGTTTATGACATCACGAAAACTGGTGATCGCGATGCAGATTTGAAAATGACTATAAGAAGGTAGCCAAAAACATGGACTTAACCACCTTCTTTAATGAACGAGGAACATAGTTTACTATTCACAAAAATATCATTATGTAACAAGTTTGATCGCTATAGTCTTCAAGGAATTTACCTCTATGTACAAACTGTAAAAAAATAATCCCGAAGCTTCGCAACGAGTCGGATTCATCTTAAGGGACATCATTATACAATAAAGTAAGTATAATAAACAACGCTGGCAGTGACCTAGCCAATAGTGCCTGGTGCTATATATTATCCTCTAAAGACGGAAGTGGCTCGATCCGAAACGTATGGACTTGTTTGAATAAAATTTATATGCAGAGTATACTCTTTGAAGATTATAAGTGTCAAGAACTTTCCACCCCCCCCTCTCCCTAAACAATTCAAGTAATCTCTTAAAAGATATGAAACCGCCTGCAAGCATTACGTATGGAAAAACACGATAAAGACCGACGAGTTCATGACGACGTTTAAACTGAAAAGCGAGAGACAGGTAGGTAATTTTACATCTATGCACTGAATGTACTAATATCGTGGGGACTTATGATCTGGGCAGGATACGAAAAGTAACTTTTACAAAGACAGTCAGTTACTCCGCTGACTGACTCGAAGGATAAAAAGAAAAATATTGCATGCCGGTGATAGAGGGACAGCATTTAAGCAGCAAAGTTCGACATACAACATACAAAACATCTTCTCGCTGTTAGGAAAGAGAACTCATCGGTGTAGTCATTGATCACTACGGAAGCCGAAAAGCAACACTTCAGGCACAGCGAGATTCAGTGCCTCTGGAAATGTCACTGGCACGATTTCCTTGACAGCAGCGAAAGAAACGCTCAAAAACACAGAGA